CACCTCTAGTAATATATTTACTGAGAAAAATGTTCACGTGTTCAATACTTATTTTACCTGCTGCATATGTTTAAGCATAACTGCTAATAAAATGTGAAAGTTGTTTTACTCAGTCTGCGTGAAGTTTTGCCTTCATACTGTCTGGAACTGAGTAAAAGCCAAGGAATAACTTGCATTTTTTTTATTTGAAAAGTAAAAAAAAATACACAAATGTTGAATATTTATCCAATCTTTTTATGTCAATGTTTTTTTTTTCTTTAAAAATATTAAAATCATAAAGAATTACACAAAAAGTTTAAATGGTGTTGATACTTACAGTTTTCTGCAAACCAAAATATTTGCTCTTAAACCATCAAAGTGAGGAATTTGGACAAATTAGTGAGTGCAAATATTGATTTCTTTACTTTGTGCAACATTTGAAGCCAGGGTTGGAGATAAAGAAGAAGCAGACACAAGTTTTCAAAACATCTGCTTTTGTTATCACTTGGTTAACCCAAAGATTTGTTGATTCTGAGAAAATGTCCCACCTTTTGGTGGAAAAACAAGTCATCACGCTTTGATTGCACTCTGTTGTGATTCAGTACAGAAACTGCATGCTGTAATAAAAACGCTGCATTGATGAAGTCGTGTTTAATTGTCATGATTAGAAACAATTATAAAAGGACAATCTAGTGGAAAATGCAAATGTAAAGAGAACAGTCAGGGGCTGGAAAGCAGTGGAACATCCCCCTCCCACAACAAGAAGCCTTTTCTAGTTCACTCTCACGTAACATAAACTTTTATCATAAAATATTTATCAAAACTAAACCCTTTAAACCAATAAAATTTGTTTTATTGTCACAGAGAAATCAAACACAATTAGTTGTGTTAATAAAATACTCATCATTGATTTTGACGTGACATCTGACAGATCCAAGCTTTGATGCTTTAAGAAGAAATTATTTCCAGTTTATTCTTCACAATGATGAACACCACATATTCAAGTTCTCACGTTCTTTTACACACTGCAAAAACTGTCCACCTAACCAAGTTTTAAACTCTTATATCAGCCAAAAAGTCTTTTTGATCTTGTTTTGAGACTGATTTACTAAACAAGAACTGGTTGTGTAAGAATAATCGTCTTGTTTTCAGAATG